GGTAGGGTGCTGGAGAATGATGAAGGCAAGGAATCCCAGGGTGGCAAGGACTGAGATCTAGGGGAAAAGGGAGGGATGGAGTTAGCATAAATCAACATCCTGGCTTGAAATCTGTTCAACAGTCAGATCTCCATGAGTTCCAGGATGTGGAAGATCCCATGACTCTGGCAAGCTCAGAGGAAGATGGAGATGATGAGCCCTTCTCTGAAGCAGCAGTATATGGTTCTAGGTTTCTAAGAGGTCAAGATGGGACCAATCTCCTTAGCACTTTGAGGTGTGATCTGGGAAGGGCACATACACTGTGAGGCTGAGACATGAAGAGCCAGCTCGACTCCAGGGCATCCCTGTCCTCTGGTCACCAGGACAGAAAGTACTGGGGGAGAAATGAGGCAGCTCTGTTGTGGACAAGTGCTGAAGCCTGAGCACCTGGTTCAAGGCACTGTGTGGCACCATCACCTAACTTTTGAGGCAAAGGATGGCCAGTGTCTTTAAGAAGGGGCACAAGACAGCCTCTCCCTTCTCACTGGGGTTATGTACGTGTACCTGAAGCCTCTCAAAGGATGGAAAGATCCACATGGATTCTGGCTTAAGGCAGGGCGCGGGGCAGGACCCTTGAGGCAAGGAGCTAAAAGAGTGGCCACTAAGCCTGAAGGAGCTGATACCAGACCACAGGGGTAAGGGTGAGTCCTACTCAAGGTCAAGAGTCCTCAAACCTGCCAGCTTACTATTTGTGAGGCACTGTACTAGGCATGGGGAAGAGTGATGAATTATAAAGAAATGGTTCTTCCTCAATGATGTACACAGTCTAGCAGTGTAGTACCAGTGTCTAGAACAGTCCCTGGCACCAATAAGCACTCCCTATTTGTTGAATAAATGATGACGCACTGTGATGGGGGAGGAACAGGGCATTATAGGAGTCTGAGGCTTACTCCAGTCCAGACATCAGCAAAGACTTGTTTGAGGAAGGAACTTTTTTTTTTTTAAGTAGGCTTAAAATCCAGCATGGAACCCAAGGTAGGGCTTGAACTCATGACCCTGAGATCAAGACCTGAGCTGAGATCAAGAGTCAGATGCTTAACTGACTTAGCCACCCAGGTGCCCCAAGGAAGGGACCTTTTAGTTGAGACAAAAACACAACTCTCCTTGGACCACCCCTGTACCACCCCTCCCTCCCAGAGGAAGACCTCCCACTCCTCCTTCACAGAGGAAAGGGAAGCCAGCAATTGGAGAATGTCCAGAAACATAAATTTGCTGACTTCAGCACCTATCCTTTTCTCCTTCTTCCTAAGACCAACTGCTTCATCTGTTACTTTGGCTCCTTCCTTTCATGCCTTTCCAAGAATTTTATACCACTGTTTATCCATTTTTTCTTCTATATAATCAACCTCTCCCTCTCAATGGGATCCACTATCTCCCAACTTAAAAACAGAATGTTTCATGACAGATACTCCTCCAGCACCACTAGCTCTCTCTCTCTCCCCAGCTCAAGCAAATATCTTGAAAGAGATGCCTCTATTCACTGTTGCCATTTCCTCACCTTATACTCACTGCTCAACTCTCTTCAACTCTGCTTCCGTTCCCAGCACACCTCGGTAATAGCTCCTGCCAAGGTCAACAGGCCCCTGTCATCTAATCCAAACCACACAGCATCTTGGTTGTACTCTAGGCACCACTCAACACCCTGCCTCTCATCCAACTTTCACCCATGGCTTCCCCACACTACATCTCCTGGTTTTCTTCCTACACTCTAGTTCCTGTCCCATGGCTTCATAGACCCCTATGCTAGCTCATCTTCCTCTATCAGCTGTTACATGCTATGGTTTCTCATGGTTTGTTCTTATACCCTTTACTCCTTCTTGCCAAATATCCAATGTATTTATTCATGCCCATAGCTTCAGGTGCTACGTTTACACTGCTCATTTCCAAATCTACATCTCCATTTCAGACCCTTCATCTGAGCTCCACGACATGTACATTCAACTTCCTACTCAACATCTCCGCCTGATGTCTCAAAGGCCTCTCATACAAACATGCCTGCATAAGCTTCTCTCTCCCACACCCTAACTAGTCTTCCTTTAGGATCCTGGCACATGGAGTGATAGAGCCACCCATCCAGTTGTGCAAATCAGAAGCAGGGGTTACCATTTTTGACACTAGCTTCTCCCCCACTCCCCACATTCCATCCATCCCCAGATACTGATAATTTGATAATTTTCTCCCTGAGGAAAATTTCTAGACTTCATCTACTCTCCACATCCACCACCATCACAATACATACCAAGGACAAAGATCTTAAGATCACAGTTATTAACAAGGCCTAAACTGTCCTACTCAGTGTGGCCTTTGCCTTCCTCTCCAGCATCAGCACTCTGCTCTCCAGTCTCACTGGCCTTCTTTTGATTCCTCGAAGACATGATGCGCTCTCCTTTCACAAGGTGTTTGCATGTGATTTTTCCCTGCTGCCTGGAACCTCATTCTGCTAACCCTCACTCACTCAGCCTGATACTCATCCTTTACATCTTAGTTCAAATGTCATGTTCTCAGAGAAGCCTTCCTTGGCCCTCTCTCTATCTCCCAGACCAGTTTATCTTGGGCTTTTATGTCTTCTCAAGGCACCATCCACCTTTCCTTCACGGTATTTATTACACTTGTGATTTTACTCTTATCTGATTCCCTCCTGTATTATCAGCTCTGTAGGGACAAGATCCCAGTCTATTTTGCTCATAATTATATCTTCAGTGCCTAAGACAGTACCAGATATATTAAAAGTGCTTAAAGTATATTTGTTGAATGAATAAATGATCAGATAGATGCCATTTTTAAAAAGGATCACACTGTATTCAGAGTGTTTAAGGGGAGGTAGGCAAGAGGGTATGCTATTAGAACAATGAGAAGGAAAAAGAGTTTTGGCCTAGATTAAATTCAGTAGCAGTGAGGCTAGAGTGAAACAAATGGAAAATATCTGAAAAGTATTTAAGTAGTGGATGTGACAGAATTTGGTGACATAAGATACAGAGGGTGAGGGAGAGAGGTTAATCTAGAATGTTGCCCAAGATCCCAGCTTGGATAACTCAGAAAGTAGCCATTTCTGAGAGCCGAAGGGAGAATAGGTTTGGAAGAAGGGTAGAGAGATGACACAGGGAATATAATTCAGCTTGGGATCTGTAGGTCTGGGATTTCTGTTGAACTTCAATGGAGATGTCATGATGGCAGCTGGATGTGGAGTTCAGAAAAAGAAGTCTGGGCCAGATATAAACATCTGAGAATCCTCACCATATAGGTATATGAAATTTGAAGATTTGGGAGTGAATAAAATAACCGAGGAGAAAGTATATAATGAGAGAAGATAGCTCAGGACAGAACCAAAAGCTTTACCAACATCTAAAGGGAGGGGAAGGAGGTAACAAATGAGACCACGAAGGAGCAGACGATGCCAGACAAGAGAAACCAGGAAAATGTTTCCAGGACAGTTACCACACACCACCGAATACTACTAAAAGGTAAAGGGGGATTAACAGGAAAGTGTCCTTTGGAGTTGGCCACATGGAGGTCTCCGGTGACCTTGGCTCCAGCAGTTTCAGTGGGTGTCGCGACAGTGGACAAATGAAGAGGTTTTAAGAATGAATGGGAAGTGAGGAAATGAAGACAGCAAGTGCAGGAAAGGTTTTGGCTTTGAAAGAGTAGAGAGAGAGCTGGGACTAGTCTGGAGGGGCTGGGAATGCAAGAAATACACAGGCAGATGCAAAATACGTTCCGAATAACCTACAAATTGGCGGTGGGAAAGCTGCTCTGGACGAGTGCTTCTGTGAGTGCTAGGCCTCCTTGCCGAGCTGGGGACACTGCCGGCCCCAAGGCACACCCCTTAGTCGCCGAGGGCAACAGAATGCGGCTTGACAGATTCCAGGCCTGGGACCCTGGAGAAATCCGCCAGGGCTCTGCCTACCTCACCCCACGTCCCATTCCCAGCCCCTGACCTCCCCTCCCCCACCCCCATCCCCCTCTCGCTTCGTGTCCCCCATACTCGACCCTCTCTAGCCCAGAGGGGCACCAGGTAAAGGTCGGGGAGAGGGCGTTGTGAGGACCAAGGTGGAGTCTACAAGGGAGAAAAGGAGGATGGTCGGAATGCGGGCGGCGGGAGGACCGCCCGCAGGGATGGGGCCTGGCCGGGGTCGGGGGGACCCAGGCCGTGCGGGGAAGGGGCTGCGGGGTCCTCCAGCCGATGGAGAGGTCGGGATCCGGCCCCCGGGGCTGGGCCAGGGCAGGGGCAGCTCCTACCTGCGCGGGGAGGCCCCAGGCCCAGGTGGCGGAGGTGGCTCAGGCTGCGGGGCTCCGGCTCCGCGGCGGCTTCTCCATCACAACATCCCCCGCCCTGGAGCGCGCGGGCCGCGGGGCCGCGCCCCGAGCGTCGGAGACGCGCGCGGGGCGAGGGGCGGGGGGTGGAGGGGCGCCATCTTGGGCCGCGCGCGGGAACAGGAGCGCGAGCGCGTCGCGGGCTACGCTTGCCGCAGCTTAGCCGAGGGCTCCACCCTGCAGGACGCTCGGGACTCAGTGCTCCCCACGGCCCAGCAGCCCTAGCCCCCGCCAGCCCTGCGCCCGGGTCCCCGAGTCCCAGAGCTCTGCCCCTGCCTTCGCCGACCCCTGTCCGGCCCGGCACAGCCCTCGGTGGCGAGGTCCCGGACTCACCGAGCGCGCCCCGCAGGGCCCAGGGCCCGCACCCCTGCGCGCGCCGCACCGACGAGGCTGGAGCGGGAGCGGCTGTGGCGGTGGCCCGGCCGCGGCCGCGCGGGGAGGCGCCCGGAGGAGGCAGCCTGCTCCACTCTTGCGGCAACAGTCCCTGACGTCCTGGTGGAGAGGCAATGAGGACACAGGGTTGGTAATAATAATAGATCGTATTTATTGGTCGCTTACACTGTGCCAGGGTTGGTGTTTAAACCTTTTCCAGACATGTATCCTCACACCAGCCCTGTGAAATCGCCACTGTTGTCCTTATTTTTCAGAGACAGATGCTGAGATTAAGAAAGGTAAAGCGACTTGCCTGCAGTCACTAGTAAGTGGTGAAATCAGACTGAAACCCAGATGTCTGTTAACAGTCTACCTCTGCTGCTGAAGGTAAAGCTGCGACATCAAGGACTCTATAATGTCTGGAATAAATCACTCCCAGTGGAAATTCATGAGAGGGAAGGAAAAAGGGAGAATGTGGGTGAAAAGTGTGAAGGAAGGAATGGGGGGCTTTGTGCTCTGCAGGCTACTCCCTGGATGGTGGGATAGTTCCCAGTGGCCAGGAAGCCATCAAAGATATGAAGGGGAACATTACCATCCAGAAACCTTCTCCTGGTTCATTCTGCTAAGGCAGAGGTTTCAATTTATTGGAAATGCTAACCATTGAGCAACTGACTGGAGAAGCCTTCAATGTACCTCAAACTAAAGGTGTCCAAATATAAATTCATTATCTAATCCTTTTATTGGCCTTCTAAGAAGTTTCACTGTGGTGAAAAAGAACTCTCCCCAACACACACATCCACAGACACACATCCACAATAGCCTGGATACAGCTCAACTTCACCCTTCCCAGTGAGTGGCACCACCATCTATCTACTGGTTCATCCAAGCCAGAAGCCTCATGATCATCCTTGACTATACTTTCACTTGACTTGAGGTGAATATAAATGTTTTAACTTTATTTATTATGGAAAATTTCAAATATATACAAAAGGAGACTTAACAGTATAATGAACCTTCATATACCCATCATTCAGTTTCAATAATTATTAATTCCTGGCCAAGAGTTTATTATGATTTGACATTTATTATATATGTACCAGGTCCCAACCTAGAACCTAAGGATCCAAAGATGAATCAGATTTGACTGTAACCAACCCTGAAGGATATAAAATCTGACTTTGGTTCTTGAAAGTTGAGTAAGAATTATCCAAGAGAGGAAGGGTCCCCCTCATTCATTCATTCATTTATTCATTCTCTTTCAACAAATTATTAAGTGTGAGGCACTGTCCTTAGTTTCTTCATGTAAAGAAACAAGAATACAGAGTGTTGTCCCTACCTTCAGGAAGCTTGAATAACAGGGGAAAGAGACATTAACATATAGTTAGAAATGTGATGATTATCTTGAAGGAGATGTACAGGATGCTAGGAGCAGACTAAATTTGGTCTGGGAGGTTTGGGATGGTTTTCATAAAGTAGTGGCATTTATGATAGGGGAAGGGGTAAAGGAAATGGAGGTTAGCCAGGAGAAGAGGAAATTATTCCAAGGCCAAGGAGAAGTACAAGAAGGCCAGTATGGATGTGAGGATGGAGAAGTATTCTCATTAGATGAGCTGGTAAGGTAGATAGGTACCAAATCAAAAATGGGCCTTGTATATTAGGCTAAGGGTTTTGGACGTTATTATAAGGGGAATGGAGAATCATCAAAGGGTTTGAGGCAGGGACTGGCATATTCCTTCTTGCATTTTAGAAGATCACTTTAGCTGCTAAATGGAGAATAGATAGGAGGAGAGCAAAATTGGCAGTGTGGGGACCAGTTAGGAGGCAATTGATGTAGTCTAGGTAGCAGATAATACAGTGGTGGGAGTAGGGATGGAGAAAGTTGCATAGGTTTAATAAAAATTCAGTAGGTAGAATTCACAAAAATAGTGATCAGTTGATTGATTGGCTATGGAAGTATGAATAAAGAGATGACTTCCAGATCTCTGCTGGAGCAACTGAAAAAATATCACCCACTTACAAAGCAGAATATTTGTCTTCCCAATCCCATTGAGTAGGATGGCTGCAATATTCAGGAAAATCTCTTTGCGTAACTAGAGGCACACAGTATAGGGTAGGGAAGGTGGGGAAAGGAGTCTAATTAGCTAAGATGTAAAAAGGAAATTGTACAGTTCACATATATTGCAGTTTGACCTATACACAGTCTTCTTGAATCCCTGATCTCTTCATAAGTCTGCGAAGCTTTCTGAATAATGGGGAGTCAGCCTGTGTCCTTCATCCATCCTCTCTCTATTGTATCTCTTCTCCACTTCTGATGCTCTCCATGGCCACAGAGCAACCAATAACCTATGAACTACCTCAGATGCTCAGTGTGTGGTTCTGATGCTCAGTGTAGGTCCCTCTGAGGCAGCAATCTTTTAAAGTTATTACCTTGAAACTATTAGGGAAAAAATTATTTAGAAGCAAATCTATCCAGGGGCACCTGGGCAGCGGCAGCGTTCAACTCTTGGTTTCAGCTCAGATCATGATCTCACAGTTTGTGAGTTTGAACCCTGCATCAGACTTCACACTGACAGCGCAGAGCCTGCTTGGGATTTTCTCTCCCTCTCTCTCTGCCCCTCACCTGCTCACACACACATATTCTCTCTCTCTCTCTCTCTCTCTCTCTCTCTCTCTCTCTCTCTCTCCCCCCCCCCTCAAAATAAATAAATAAACTTAAAAAAAAAAAAGAAGCAAATCTATCCAGAGTCACTTACAAAGAACACTGGCTTTACGCTCTTTGGATTAATAGACCAGCCATTTAGCATTACAAGGCAGTTGGCACCTGCCTCACCTATATGGAAGAGTAGATCTTTCACCTCTGTTAGCCGCAAAGACACTTAATGATACAAAGGCAGACTTTTCTACTGCTGTATATAAGTATTGCTTTGATATTGCAATTTTTTCTTGCAGTTTATTCAATAAACTCTCTTCTGGGTGATTGTTATGATTTGAAAAATCTATATGGAGTAAGATCTTTCCAAATGTTATATGGAGTGGTATTCATAAGTCAAGTGCTAGGCCTGGCAAGGACTTGCTCAATGCCCTTCTTGAACAGGACTATTTTAATGCATTTCCAGGAAGAGCATTTAGGGTGAAAAGAGAAAAGGATCAAGGCGAACTCTAGGAGTACCAGCATTTGGGAAGCCATCAGAGGAAAGAAGGCTAAGAAGAAACAATAAGAGAAGAATCAGCAAAGAGTAATATCATGGAAGAAATCCAAGGGAGGAAAGACTTTCAAGGACAAAGAAGTGGTCAACAGCATTGAATGCAGCAAAGATTTCCAATAAGTTCAAGGCAAAAAACTATCCTTTGAATTTGGCAACACTGAAGGCCTGGATCCCCATGATATGATCTGTGTCAGCAGAAAATGAGGGCAGAAGCCACAATGCAATGAATTGAACAAATGAAAATGAGGAAGTAGAATAAGTAAGTACAGACTCCCCCTTTTGAGAAATTTGGAAGAAGGAATAGACAGCAGCTGAAAAGTTATATGTGAAGTTAAAGATTCTGGTTTTGTCTTTTGAAAATGGTAGAGACTTGAACATGGGTATAAATTACAAAAAAAGATACCGGTAGAGAAAATGAATTTGAAAATAAAGAAAAAAAGACAATGAGGGGTACCTGGGTGGCTCAGTCATTTAAGCATCCTACTTTAGCTCAGGTCATGATCTCACAGTTGGTGAGTTTGAGCTCCACATCAGGCTCTGCACTGATAGCACAGAGCCTGTTTGGGATTCTTTCTCTCTCCCTCACTCTCTGCCCCTCCCCCACTTGCATGCTCGCTCTCTTGCTCTCTCACTCTCTCAAACTTAAAAGAAAGAAAAAGAAAGAAAGAAAAGAAAAAGAAAGAAAGAAAGAGAAAGAAAGAAAGAAAGAAAGAAAGAAAGAAAGAAAGAAAGAAAGAAAGAAAGAAAGAAAAAGAAAGAAAGAAAAAGAAAGAAAGAAAAAACAATGAGAGATGGAGGGAAATCCCAGAGGCAATAAGACGAGGATCAAGGATTCATGGAGAAGAATTAGTCACCTTAACTTTATGGACTGAGTGGATGAGGACAAGGGCATAGGTAGGGTAATTATTAAAGTGGAGCAGGCAAGAGGTTGAGGGATTTTGCACCTGGTGATATCAATATTGTCAAAATCTTTATCTGAGGAAGGAAGAAGTTTGGAAGAAGAACAAGAAAAACCTTACAAGGTGAGTATTATCCTGTCATGAACATGTTGTTGCCATTGTTATCTGCACGGCATCCACCTCCCTTATTGGTAACAGCACACCAGTTTTCTTTGAAGATCCATCCCGACCCTACTCTGTGGTTCAGATGGGAATCATCCCAGTTCCATATCCATGTCAGTGCTGGGTTCCTAACCCATACTTAGGTCGAAGTGATCAATTCAGAAATGGGTACATGATGAAATTTGAGCAGTTTCCTGTAACTGTCGGGCAAGAGGTGTTCACAGAAGGCAAACCTGGCGGACATCTTGCCACAGGGAAGGATGAGCCTGCCTGAGAACAAAGCCAACTCAAGGCAGAGCTGAGGGGTGGGGAGAGACAGATGCCTGGCAACATCAATTTAACACCTATATTTCCCTCTGCCTAAAGTCCCATAAGTCAGTAAGTTTCCTTTGTGCTTAATTAACACTAATTTGAATTGGGTTTTATCACTTGCAATGAAGAGTTATGATGAATATATGTAGCAGATATTGCCGATTTGTACTCCTCCCCACACCCACTCTTCTGTACTAACAGGGCTGGAAGTCTGAAAACCACATTTCTCAGATGCCTTTGTAGCTTCATTCCAGGTAGGTTCCACCAGTGAGAACCGTCACATGAGGAAAGTGAGGGGAAGGGAAGCCCTCCTGCTCCTGGCGGTGCCCCTGGCAACATCAGCAGCAGTGGTTCCTGCCTAGCAAAAGCAGAGGTGGTTTCCGTAGCATCAGCAGCACAGACTCCGGGCACATCAGTAGCTAGTGCACATTTGTGGGCTCCAGCTCCTCGATCTGCTAGTGCACATTTGTGGGCTCCAGCTCCTTAGTCCTTGGGCAATAACTTTTGTTCCTTTTCCTCTTCTAAACCAAGGTTAGTGGTAGTATCCTGGTCTCTGATTACCTCTGTTTTCCTTTTTATTCTTCTGCAGACCTCTCTTACAACATTGTTGTTGCTGTTGTTGTTGTTGTTGCTGCTGCTGCTGCTGCTGCTGTTGTTAAGTAAGTTCTGCACCCAATTTGGGGCTTGAACTCACGACCCCTAAGATCAAGAGTCACATGTTCTACCAACTGAGCCAGCCAGCTGCCCCCCTCCCTTACAACTTTGTAACAAATTCTTTGCTTTAAATCCTTCTCTATTTGGTATCTGGAGTGATTTCTGTATCCTTACTGAACAGCCATCGATACAATATGTATTCCTTGTTTGCATACACACATGCGTGTTTATACACGTACACCACTCACAAGGCTCAGAGAGGCTAAGTTTCTCAAATATACAAAATTAGAAGTGATTTAGCTAGGATTGGAATTCAGACATGACTGATTCTAAAGTTCTCACCCCTCTTCTGACCTAACATTGGTTTTTTTATTTCTTTTCTTTTTCTTTTCTTTTTTATGGCTAGATTAAGTAGAAGTTAGAGGGGACAGAGAAATAAAAGCATTGTTAAGTAAGTTGTTCAGGTGACCAATCTTGATGTTCAACTAGGGTAAGGAAAGAATAGCTTTGAGGGAGTGGAGGACTGGGAGATAATTAAGGGATCAAACATCTCTATAAAGTTAAGGAGCAGGAGTAGGAGAATAAAGTTGTGTGGGAAGCAGAAAGATAAGGATAAGAGGTTGTGGTCACAGTGTGATGATGGAATTTAAGGCATTTTTTCACAGGTGGAGCAATTGTGAATAATGACTAGGGGGTCAGATTTTAGCCATACTAATTGGATGACTTCACCAATTGAGAGGACGTAGTCAGGAGGTTGGTAGATGATGAACAGAAGAATTGTATGGCTTGGGGTGGCTGGGTGGCTCAGTCAGTTGAGCATCTGACTCTTGGTTTTGGCTCAGATCATGGTCTTGCGGTTCAAGGGATTGAGCCCCATGTCAGGCTCCAAGATGATGGTACAGAGCCTGCTTAGGATTCTCTCTCCCTCTCTCTCTACCCCTCCCCTTCTCACTCTCCATCTTGCTTTCTGAATAAACAAACAAACAAACAAACAAACAAACATTAAAAAAAAAAGAATGGTATGGCTCACTTGGATGATGCCAAAGAAAGAATTTAGGAATTTAACCTGCATAGAAAGAAGAAGAGGTTGCCTGGGTGGCTCAGTCAATTAAGNATCTCCCAGCTTGTGGGTTCAAGCCCTGCGTTGGGCTCTGTGCTGACAGCTCAGAGCCTGGAGCCTGCCTCAGATTCTGTGTCTCCATCTTTCTCTGCCCCTCCCCCACTCATGCTCTGTCTCTCTCTCTCCTTCAAAAATAAATAAACATTAGAAGAAGGAGGAGGAGGAGAAGGAGAAGAAAGGAAGGAAGGAAGAGAGAGAGAGAGAGAGAGAGAGAAAGAAAAGAAAGAAAGAAAGAAAGAAAGAAAGAAAGAAAGAAAGAAAGAAAGAAAGAAAGAGAAAGAAAGAGAGAGAGAGAAAGAAAGGAAAAGAGAGGAAGAGAGGGGCACCTGGGTGGCTCAGTCAGTTAAGCATCCAAGTCTTGACTTTGGCTCAGACCATGATCTCATGGTACATGAGATTCAGCACCACATCAGGCTCTGGACCAACAGCATAGAACCTGCTTGGGATTCTCTCTCTCTCTCTCCTTGCCCCTTCCCAACTCTCGTGCATGCATGCATATACCCTCTTTCTCTCTCAAAATAAATAAACATTTTTTAAAGAGGAAGAGAAATGGTACAGATGTGTATGGGAGTCCTGCTAATACTGATATTGTTGCCCATCTATTGGGACAGTTATAGGGAAATGAGGAGGGACCCTGGATCAGAGCCTGATCTCAGTTAAAGCTAGAGGTAAAGAGATAGAGAAGTGTATAAACTATGGAGTGTGTAAAGAATATAGAGAAGCTTATTAACCATGGAGAGAATTCAAGAGGGTGCCATGAGAAGTTTGGGAAGGAGAGGTGCAATTATGAGTGGGGAAAAAAGGCCATAGAGCAGTTTGGAGGTGAGATTTCTCTCTTTCCCCTCACCCCTCACACTTGCTAAATATTTAGCAAGTCCCTCTAAATATTTCTTAATCCACCTACTTCTCTTCATCTCCATTGCCACCCAATGTCCAGGCATATGTGATTTACCACCTGGTAATAATACCAACCTCCTCAGTGATCTCCTCACATCCACTTTGGCCTCCTTTCACACAGTCACAGTGATCTCTCTAAAGTGTAAACCTCAGCATGCCACAGCCATGTCTAAAATCCCTCAGCAGGCCTTCATTACCCCAAAGACAGACAAAATCCATGCGTCTTAGCCTTGCATGAATTCATAAGCCTCCTTCTCCAACCTCATCTACCACCAGCCCTTCATTTGGCCCTCCTGAATTGCTGTGGTTCCCAATCCTGGCTATTTCTTCTGCTCTGGGTTTTCTTTGCTCATGTTGCCTCCTGCCGATATTGCTCCTGGCATGATACTGCATAGTAGGCAGTGAATATAGATGTGCTGAAGGAATTCCATGTATTCTACTCATCTTTTGAAACTCAGATTGTTATGTGTAAAACCTATCCTAATCCCTTCATCCCAGGCATTGCTGGCTCCACTCTCCTTTGTATATATGGTCTTCTACCTTCATGTCTATCTCACTTTATTGCATTTATCTAATGCCTTGTCCAGGGTCCCCTCTTAACTGTGATATAGAGTTGGAGATTCTTGAGGGCAAGGACTGTGTGATTCATTGACTGACACACTGCTCTGCACATAGGAGGTGCTAAGTAAGTGGATGAAAGAAGCATGAGGGGACCTTTTCTGGGAGTTCCTTGGAGACAAGCTAGAGGCTTCCCTATGACAGAGCGGATGGGAGAAGAGAAGAAAAAGACTTAGGTTTCTTCCTTCAATAGAGAGGAGGAAGTTAACCTTGAGTACCAGAGTTGCTGGATAACTGTTTAGACATTTCCAAGCTCTCAGGTATGATACAGTGATGGCCTCAGATGTAGCACATCAACCAGATGTGAGACTCTGGCTTTATTCTCACCCCTCAGAATGAAGGAATGGCAGCCAGGCCTATAAGGATAATCATCCTGACACCATCCGGGATGAAGGGGAAAGCTCAAGATTCTTCTTGGGAGTGCACCTCACAGTTCTGGTGGCTCATCCCTAACCTCTGTTCCCAGCCCCAGCCAACCTCAAGTCCTGGATCCATCCTGATCTAAGAGGCCAAGATTCATCTCCTGCCCTTCCTCGTAGCCACTAAAGCTGGTGAAGGAACCTTAGGCAGTTCTCCTGGCCCGGTAGGACCTGGTGCCTATCAAGAACCATTCTATGACCTGGTCTCCCAGTGCAAAGCCCTGTATGGCAGTTGGAGCTTGTCAGTCTACTGTTCTACCCACAAATTCCCACAAAACAAGGAGCCACCAGGTCTTAAGTGTTGGCCTTAAGACAGATAAGGCCATGGTCCAGAATGTGGCTCTAC